AATTTAGTCAGTAAAAAATACCTCATTAAAAATGTGAATATTATTAATTTTGAGTGATTTGGACATTTTTTCACATTTTATTTACCACTCTTTACACATTCTTTATCCTTCTGTGATTTGTGGCTCCATCTCTTCTGCCAAATTAATTTTTTTCCTTTTGGGTCTGTGCAAACTCCTTGTTTATTGTGGATATTAACTCATCCATATATGATAGGATTTTTTGTCATATATGATGCACACATTTTCAACTTATTATATAACTTCGCTGATTCAGTGTTTTTGGCCTCTTACAAGTGACATTTTAACAATTTGTGAGCCTGGGTCTTTCTAGGAACAATAGGAAACTGAGATGTTATACCGGAAAAAAACAGATTTTAGCTAAAGTAAAACTAAAAACACTGAAGTTATTTTGATGGCAATGGAAAGCCCTTGAAGTTTGTTTAACCTAGATTTCTATAAGACTAGCACTGAGTCTCAATTTCTCCTGGGACTACCTAGCCCCCAGTTGATTCTTCACATTGCCCAGAACTCTTCCAACTGTTTGCTCTGTGATGTTGGTCTCCGCCCACTGGTGGTACCCAAGCCTTCTCGTATTTTGGCTGCTGGTATTTTTGGTGATGCTCTTTGGAATGCCATATATGCCGCACAAGGGAGGCAAATGTGGTAAGACATATTAAATGCTTTCGTAAGTGCTATTCACCAGGAATTTAAAATCTTTTCCACCCCTGAGAGATGGAAATCATTATTTCCTTTTCTCTGGAAATAAATGATAATGAAGAGGCAGGGATCTAGAATGTCTCAGAACAGGCATGTATCCTTTTTAAGCCCCCTAAATGCACTTTTATGGCTGACAGACTTTGGAATAGATACTCCTTTATTAAGAATTACTTCAACAACAATTTGAACAACTCCTATGTTCTATGCCAAGAGCCTCTGAAATACAATCTTTCAGTGTAGGTGCTGTTGTCCCCAGTTCATAGAGGAGGAAACTGAAGCTCAGAGAAGTCAGGTGACCTGCCTAAAGCCATGAAGTTAGTAAATTTTGGAGGAGGATTCAATCCAGGTCTGGCTTCAGTTTTAAATTTCTCACCAGGCCAGGCTGCTTCTTCCTAACAGAAAGAGTTTACAAAATACAGTTTGAGGAACTACACCTGTCCCACGCTCGGGGAACACGTCACAAATGAAGTGACCTTTGGGTAGGTCACTTATTAATACTTGCTGAGCGCAACATGTCATGTTATGCTAACAATAACCCTAGGAGGCAGATGCTACCAACAGGGCCGATTTTACGCATACGAAAGCTGAGCACCAGCGGGGACGAGGAGCAGACGGAGAATCCATCCCAGGCCACAGGGGAGCCCGGCCTGGGGACCTGGACACGCCCCTGGAGAGCTTGACCCCGGAAGCAGTCGCGGCACCTGCGGCCGCGTCTTCGGTTGCCAGGGCGCCTTTCCGGAAGTAGAGCGCGGCTCGGCGGGCTGGTCCGCGGAGCCCGGGCGACGTCCTCCTGCCTGCGGCGGAGTGGGGCTGGAGGCGGGGCCGGGGCGCGGCGCGGGGCCGCCCTCCTTCGCGCTGCTTGGTGCTCCCCCGCGCTCCGCGCCCAGAGGTGAGGCCCCGCGGGCTCCCGGACCCGGGGTGTGGCCGTGCGCGGGTGGGCCAGTGCGCATGCGCGCGCGGGTGTGGCCCACCAGCGGCTTAGAGGTTGCTCCCTGACCTCGTCCTCAGGAAACCTGTGCTGACCACCGTGCCCCTCTTACTCCTCCGAGTTCCTATGACTTGCCCTGTGCCGCCCGATCGTTGTAACTGCATTCTCTATATTATCGGTTATTCCGGAATTTCGTGTTCCTAGGCTTGTCCCATTCTTAGCAATCTGTATTGGTTTCTCTCGGCATCTTGTGGGGTACCTGTGGCGAGAGCTCTGGGCAGGGCACAGACTCGTGTTTCCCGCCCTGCTGCTCTCTCTGGGGGACTGGACCTAGGCTTTTCCCCTCCCTATTTACCCATCAGTTAAAGGGGGTGGAAGTCGGACGTAGTCCTCCCCCATAGAGTAGCTGAGGCATTACAGGACATTCATTTTAGAACTGCAAGTCTTATCTTTGTGAACTGTTTAGGGTTTGCAAAGCGGTTCTTTGTTCGGGTTGTGGCAAGTACAATACGACTGGCCCTGCCCTGCGCTCAAGGAGCCGGTAACCTATGGAGCACAACAGTGTCACCCAGTGGGGGTGTGGAGATGGACAGTGGCAGTACAGTTAGCTACTCACCACACTCAGGTGAAGTTGTCATTCACATTATTTATTTTGTTGACAATGGCGTTTTTTTCCTTTTTGAAGAAGACTAGCTGTAAAAGAAACCAGATGCCCTAGAATCCCAGCCTGGCAGGGACTGAGTTGAAAGTGATAACGATCAAGAGTGTCTGGGGCGGTGGGAACAGGGGCAGAGAGAGCTTCCGTTTTGATGGGTGGACCCCGAAGAGTGAAAAAAAACCCTTGAATGTAAGTTCTTCCACCCCCACTTGCCTTTCTCCTGAAAAGTGTCCTTGCTTTTATCTGGGAGTAGTTATTAACCCAGGGAGTGAAAGTCCTCTGGGCTAATATCTGTCCCCCTGGGCTTGCAGGCCCACATATTCCCTGAGATGTTCCCTCACTCAGCAGAAATCAGCTAAACTCCTGGCCTCTTCATGCCTCTGGTGACGCTGTGCAAGTCTTTATGGGTGATGGATTACTGATTTCTCTCCCCTGCAGGCCTGACCACCCTTATAGGGCTGGGCCATGCCTAATTCACTACTCGGCAAAAACAGCTGTTTGGTTGTGTGTGGAGGGAATTCACTTCTTTATTTTTGTTAATTTATCAAATATAGATGGAGTGCCTGCTATTACTAGACACTTCTGGGTTCTGGGGATTCAGCAGGAGACAAGGCAGAACAACTTTGCTGCACTCATGGTGTGACATACCTGTGTGGAAGACAGATAGTCACTAAGGAATCAAATACATGAACTAGGCCAGTTCTTTTCAAACTTAAGCAAGTGTAAGAATCGCCTGAGAGCTTGTTAAGGTGCGGATTCCTGGGCCCCGCTCCCAGGAGTCTGACTGTGTCCATCACTGTGTTGGGAGCTTGAGAATTTGTATTTCTAACAAGCTCCAGGTGATGCCGAGGCTGCAGGTTCACGGGCCATGCGTTTAGCTGGTGCTAGACTAAACAGTTGTGTACAACATGAGTGCCCCAGAGAAGTAAAGTGGCAGTGCAGTAAGTGGGGAGGATTGCGATTGGGACTGGGAAAGCTGCTCTGAGGAGCTAACCTTTGAGAAGGGGCCAGAGGTGGGAGAGGAGCTGTGGATAAAATGAGAGTTCCTGTGGCCAGGATTCTCACCTGGCCCTGGTTGGCTAGCTCACTACACAGGTATAGGCAATATGTCATTACTGACCCTATTAAAGAGCTCTGCCCAGTGTTCTGGGCGACACGGTGGCATGGCTGTAAGGCTGCAGGAGAGCAGAGCGGAGCCTGGAGTGGTGGCAGCACCGAGGACAGAGGCCCAGAGGACGGCTGTGCGGGCTGAGAGACCCAGAGGACAGCTGTGTGGGTAGAGAGGCCCAGAGGCAGAGACGGGCTTGTTGCACGCAGACTCGCTCTGAGTGAACGGGATTTCAGTGACTGACCTGTCACTGTGGGAATAAAGTTGAGTATAACCCTTTCGCCCCAAGAACGTTTTACTGTCATTTCTTTGGTCACATTGAATCCATAGGAAACTTGCCTGGGGCTGAAACTCATTGGCAAGACAGGAGCAAAGCCTTAAGACAGGAGGCAGCTTAGTGGGTGTGAGGGGCTGAAAGGTGGCCAGCGGTTGAAGAGGCGTGATGGGTGGAGGAGGTGCTGGGAGACAAGGCCCAGAGGTGACGGGGGCCCATATCATCGCAGGCCCTGGGCGGCAGACTGCTAGTTTATTCTGTGTGCATCGGGAAGGTACTAGAGGTTTCTGAGCAGAGTGACGGGAATTACTTTGTGTGTACAAAAAGATCAGCCTGCTGCTGGGTGGAGAATGGGTTGCAGTGGGGTGAAGATGGCTCTGAGGAAACCAGCTGGGGCCTGCTGCGGTCATCCAGGATTGCAGGGATGCTGGGGAGCAACACGGAGAGATCTGGGCTCTTGTGGAGTGCAGCTGGCGTGGTTTGCTGCTGGACCGATTCCCTGCCTCCTCAGGACCGCAGCTGAACTTTGTTGGGTTGTTAAAGCATGTTGCTACGGGGCTTGCCCCCAGTAGAATGTGTCTCTTGCTTCCCCTGAATCAGGGCTGTCACGCCAGGCAGCTGTATATCCACTGTCATGGGCGTGGCGCAGAGCGACTGTCAGCGCCGAGTGGATGGGTCAGCAGCTCGATGTCCTGATGTGGAAACTGGTTCTCAAGCTTGTGAAGATCCTGCCCACTTGCCCTGGGAGGGGGCCCACGTTGTGTTGGGAAAATAACCACCCACCATCTGCTTTCAGGATGGCTTTCTGTGGCTGACATACCTGGGGTGGTGACAGCGCACTGAGATTTGCAGCTGTGATCAGCACATTACATTTTTATGATGCTCAGTTCTGAAAGTAGCCGGCCACGTGGCTTCAGATTCAGGTGCATGAGTTAATGTGAACCAGTAGGGAGGTGACATGTCAAGTTCCTTACATGGTTATGTTAACCCCACTTTTTTTTCCTTCTATTTTAGGAGGAAGTGACAGGACTACAGTCTACCATCAGGTGTTTACTTACCTACCTATTTTTTAAGGAAACTGGTTTAGTTTCTTTGGGCTGGGAAGGGGTCAGCCCTGGCTGCTGAGCTGTGGGGACTGGCCAGCCAGTTCCTTTATTCTACAGATGATTTCTGAGTCTGCTCACTGTGCCTGGCCTGGCGGGGTGCTGGGGGACAGAGTCAGCTCACCCCCTGCCCTGCGGGTTGACATGCAGCGTGGGAGGAAGGCCATGTGGGTTGTCAGGAGGTTGCAGTCTCACCCCTGCCTACCTGAGCCCCACTGCCCCATCCGGAATACCTGCCTGCAGCACTGTGGTAGTGGTAATGAGGCACAGAATAGAGAAGGGTGTGCCCAAACTGCCCAACCCAGTGCCCGGCACGTCCTAGCACTTCGTAAGTGGTGGCTGCTGTGTTTGGTGATAATGTAAGTAGTAATTTAGTCTGTGAGGGTGCGGCTGATCTCCAGGGCCCGGCCAAGAGCCTGGCAGGCCCATAGTCAGCAGGGGCAGGAATGCAGAGCCGAATTGGGGAGAGCCTCAGGGCCAGGCTCTTCTGAACTGTACATGTTTCCGATCTGCCTAACTGCTTGGAATACCCGCCGTGTGCCAGGTCCTCACCTGCCCGACCTTGCAGTATCCCAGCCATACTCTCCCTGAGGACTCCAGGGGAGGAGTCCTGGCCTCCTCCAGCTCCTGGTGGCCGGGTATTCCTTGGCTTCTGGCGGCCTTGCTCCAGTCTCTGCCTCCGTCCTCCCAGGGCCGTTTCCCTCTGTTTCTGTGCCCCTGTGTCTTCACATGGCGTTCTCTGCCTGTGTGTGTCTATGTCCAAATTCCCTTCTCATAAGTTCACCTGTCATTGGATTAGGGCCCACCTGAATGACCTCATCTTGCCTTCAAGGTCCCTGCTTCCAAATAAGGTCATATTTATAGGGACCAGATTAGGACTCCCGTACAACTTCTTTGGGGACACAATTCAATCCGTAAGATTTCCCGGAAAGCGACTGTTGAAAGTGAAGAGTCAGTTCAAAGACCTGTCCATTCAGCCACTCACAGTATGAGTGGTTATGTCTGCCTCTCGTGCCAGAGGGCTGGGTGCCGGAGATAACAGGGTTGGGCAGATGGACTGTGAGCTTTGCTGCAAATGCTCACACCTAAATCTAGAAAGAGTCAGTGGGATGAGAGGGAGTCGGGGAACTGAGAGAGTCCCTGCGCTCCCACACGTATAAAAGGCGTGCACATGGCAGGCTGCAAGGGAGTGCCAAGCGCCTACAGGTGGAGGGGAAGGTGCACAAGGGACTGGGAGGGGGGAAGTATTAAATCCAGCGGAGGTGGTGAGAGTGGCCCCCCAGGGAGTGGCCTTTGAACTGTGTCTCCAGGGTCGGTGGAGTCGGATAAGGGGCAGTGGAGAGAACCGTGCAAGCCCGGGCTCATGTGTGGGAAAGGGTTGTGTGTGTGCACAGCCCAGCAAGGAGTGGCCGCTCCACCGGAGCAAGAGTACATGAAATGGAAGGGTGGGTGGCCGCTGGAAAAGGTTGGCAGGAGCCAGTATACATCCTAGCGTTCTGAAATATTTATCACAACAAGAACAGAGCCTCGAGGCATCTCCCGGTGTGCACTTGTTAACAGAAGGCGCCGTTGCCGAATACTCTGCTTACTCACCAGAATATTCTGGCTGTATTCATACAACTGTTAGAGCATCTCTCGGGCTTCTGCTGTGTACGTTTCATCTGTGTATTAATTGTATTTTAGGTAAGAACCTGAGGCAGGAGTGAAACCGAAGAGAAATTGGATGTTCCTGTTGGCTGCCTAAGTACCTATGGTAGGTCCCACCCGAGATGTGCTCCTTAGTGTCATTTGTCCACACTTGGTTTCCTGCTCCGTTAGTGAGCATGAGAATATTCGCCTTGTCTGCCTTACTGGGTTTGGGGAGCACCCCCCGGGAGTGTTTCATGACCTGGAAGGACAAGCATAACGTGCGGCCTGTATCATTTACATTCTTGCTCTTCTTTCTGCTGTGACCCCAGGTGGGGGCCAGTGGCTGGTGTGAGGTCACCAGTAAGATTTATGTTTCGAGGGGGAGTTGTGCAGCCAGGGTGGCTGTGGTGTGGGGCTCGCCTGATGGAGGGTGGGGACGGTTCTGCGGGTGGGCTCTAGAGGGCAGCAAACGAGCAGGGTTCCCCGGGGATGCAGGGCTCTGGGGGCTAACATCAAATAGAGAAAAGTTCCCCTCAGCGGCGGGTCTCGACACTGCAAGTGGGTGCGAGGCACGTGGGATTTGCTCAGAGCAGGGATGCGAGGTAACAGCGCGTGGGGGCTCAGCTTCTGTGTCCTGCCGTCGCCTCTGTGTGGATCCTGACTGATCAGTTCAGGACCTTATGTTGCTGTGAGTGGCACCTTAAGAGTTTGCAGAGAGCAACTCCCGCTCTTTCCTCACTCGAACCCTGTGGACGATTTCATCCTCCTGATGAAGGGCCATCACAGAGGGAAGTGAGAGCCTGTGTGGAAGAGCTGGCACTTTGGAGCAGAGTCACCTGGGTGCGTGAATCAAGGCCCCGTGACTCCCTTCGGTTTGGTTCTTAAGTAGGCTCTTAACCTTTGGGCTTCAGCTTCCTCGTCCATAAAGTGGGAATGACCATGTAACCATATCACCAGTTTCTCGAGTGCTTTCTGTGGGCCAGCCACTGTTGTCAGGGCTTGGCGGGTGTTTGTTCATTTAATCCTCACTGTGAGCTCCCAAGGTGGGCGGACACTGTGGTTATGCTCATTTTACAAACGAGGAAACAAGTTCAGAGAGGTTAGGCAACTTGCCCCAAATCGCACAGCTAGTGAGTGGTGGAGCTGGGCCTCAAACCCAAGCTCAGGCGCCCACACTCTACCACAGTCGCACCTCTGTGACGCCGCCGCTGCTGGGCCTGAGGCGAGGGAGAGGGGCGGCCGCTGGAGCAGCTCAGGCTCCGCCTGGTGGAATCCGTCACGGGAGTGCCTGGTCCTCCCGCTCCAGGCGAGGCGTGCCTGGGTCCCCATCTCCATCTCCAGGCCTTTTCTGTCCGATCAGGTGGCTCCAAAAGCAAGTCCACGGGGGCGGTATCTCTGTTCATAAGGCCCTCTAGTGCCCTGGCTCTCTAGCCTGGTTGTTTGAGGAACCCTTTCAGATAAGACTGCACTCGAAGTATAACAAAGGCCACCTTCTCTGGCTGGCACTGGAGCGGGCGCCTGGAATCCTGGGCTGAGCAGTGTGAAACCAGAGTTTCGTAGCAGGAAACTGAGGTCCAGAGAGGTCAAATCACTTGCTTAGAGTTTCGCAATGGTACCAACTGGTCTGGGACCATTGTCTGCCCATCTGAATTAAGCACCTACACCCTGCCAGGCACGGTGCTAGGCCCTGGGTGCAAAGCTGTGAAGAGGAAACCCAACTCCCTGTCCTCCAGCAGGGACAGAACTGTAGGGGTGCAGGGGGCCCTGTGCCTAGTCTGAAGAGTCAAGTGACATTCATTTAATGCTGGCAGATGAATGGGAGGTGGGTTGGCCAGGCAGAGAGGGAGGAGTGAGCTCTGCGGGCAGAGGTTCCGAGCATGTGCCAAGGCCCTGAGGTGGGAGAGAGAGTGGGCAGAGAAGTCTGGTGTGGCAAGGACAGCAGATAAAGGAGAAGGCAATGTGAGATACTCCTGGAGAAGCAGGCGAGGGCCAGGGGTCTCTATTTTAAATGCACTGGGGAGCCATGGAGGTTATCCAGCAGGGGGAGTGCTGTGGTCAGATGGACACTCACCCGTCACCTGCCCTTACAGAGGCTGAAGTACAGTAGGGCAGGGCAAGCAGGGATGTGGGCAGCGCCCACCCAGTGAGGGGTGCCCCATCAGGATAGCACCCCCATCCACCCCTCAGAGGCCAGCTGCAGGGCCCCACCCAGGGCAGCCTTCCCACCCGTAGCGCCAGGTGCCTCTCCTTAGTGGTTCCTGTTGTAGTCATGACTGACCATCCGTTGGTGATCATTTAATTGCTGCCTTTATCTCACACTAGACCCGGCCTTTTCAGTCTTGTCATGAGTTGACATTTGAGCTGGGTGTTTGGCTTCAAGGGCCATCATGTACATTGTAGGATGTGGGGTAGCGTCCTGGCCTGGGGGGTAGCACTAGATGCCAGAAGCTTCCCCCAGCCCCAGTTACAAGCAGAATGCCTGCAGACATTGCCCCGTGTGCCCTGGGGGCGGAAGTGGCCTGGCTGAGAAGCTCTGAGCTGGGAGGTCACGCCTGGGTGGGGGGGTGTAGGCTCGTGTGGGTAAAAGGATTCCTGTGGGCAGGGGAAGTTACATATTGAAGTTTCAAAGCTCTGAGTAGTTGATCTCTTCCAGGAGTATGGCAGGAAAAGTGAAGTGGGTCACTGACATCGAGAAGTCGGTGCTGATTAATAACTTCGAAAAGAGAGGATGGGTCCAAGTGACAGAGAATGAGGACTGGAATTTTTACTGGTGAGTATAAAAAGTGGGATTTGATGGTTCTTCTGAGGTCTGTTTGCCAGTGTCATGATCCTGGCAGCTCCAGTACAGACTGCACCCATGGTGGATGGCGCTCTCAGAGGTGGGGTCCCCAGGCCGTCATGCCGCTTCCCGGGCGCCTGATGAGCGGGTGACAGGAAAGCAAAGCTGTGTGTGTGTCGTGGAGTGGCCCCGCCCTCCCGTTTATCACCCTGGGATGAGAAGTCCTGGGATGTGTCTGCACAGCCGAGTGTGGTTAGCACTGCAGGGATTTGGGCGAGAAGCCAGGGCCACCCCTCGGGCTCCCCTGCCCAGGGCCCAGGCCTGCTCCCTGCAAGTCAGCGCCCCAGGGAGGAGGACGGGCAGGGTGTCATGGCAGAAGGTTCTGTGCTTCCCTCCAGGGGGGCAAGAGGATTCCAGTTGGATTGTTTAAAAAATAAGGGAGAAATGAGAGTGGGAAGAGCAAAGGCGTGTTTGGCACCAACTCCTGGGCACCCCTCTGCCCCCTGAGAGACCTGCGCGTGCCCTGGACTCCTCTCCCTGCCCCACCTCTCCCTCTTTGTCGGGGTGAGGTCCTGTGTCCTCCTCGGTCTGCTCCCTCCCTGGGGTGACAGTAATAGCCCCTGAAGCAGGCGTCCTGTCCCAGGGCAGTCTCCACCTGCTGGCGGGTTATACCACAGATAAATCTGGAGGTGTTCTCTGCTGCCCCCAGCCCTCCGCAGCTCCTAGGTCCAGAGCAGTGCAGCAAACCTCTGAGGGGGGCCTGGGGGGAGCACATCAGGGTCTCTGGAGGCTCTTTCACCCAACACACCCACCACCCCAAGACTCTGTCCCTGCCTTCTGCCTACTGGCATTTCTCCAGCCTCTTCCTGGCAACCTCCAGCCCCAACCAGGCTGCACCTGTTTCCCTGTTGTCCACTAAGACATTCTGGCTTCCACACCTTTGTATGCTCCGTGCTTTCTGCCCCCTTTCAGCCCTTCCTTTGGAGATGCAGTGCGTCCAGGGCTGGATGTCCAGGACCTGGAGCCAAGGTCATGCCTGGTTTCAGACCCTGGCTTCTCCACTGCTGGGTGGCCATTAGCAAAGGACTTGACCTCTCTTTGCAAAAATGCTTGCTTGAGGCTTAAATGAGTCAGTAAAGGACCGAGCTTAGAGTAGCACCTGGCGTGCAGAGGGGGCTTTACGAGCACGTGCAAAGCTGACCTTTGTGGTTGCCTGCCCTGAGAGCCACCTGTGCCTCCCAGGCTCCCAGGCGGCTTTATTTGGATGTCACATAGCCAATGCTGTGTGCCATGATTTGTGATTTCCCCGCCTGTCCGCTCTTCACATGTTACTGTGCACCCTGTGAGAGTGAGTGAGGACCTTGCCTGGCTCATCACAGCGTCCCAGAGTGATTGGAGGGATGACCTTTGCTTTGCTCCTAATGGCAGTTAAAGTAACTGCACCTTAGGTCATGACCTAATTTTAACTTCCCTTTGGGCACACGGATGCAGAGTGCTTATGGAACAGTTCACCTGTATGTGGTTTGGCCTGAGTTTATATTCTTACTTCTCAAAGGTAAAATGAAATGATTTATCCGGAGCCCTGTTTCAATTGGAGCTCTGAAAGAATACAGTGTTCGGTGCCTGTTACTTTTGTATCCCACGGCTCTTTGCCCTGGGCTCAGCAGGCACCGGAGAGTTCCCAGCCTTCTCTGAGTAGATGATCAGGGCTCCAGGAGGGAGTTGAGTGCCTCCCTTCTTCATGCCAAATAAGAAGCATTTTGGAGCTATTCCTAACAAAAAAGGGAGAAGAAAAGAGCTAAAATAGTATAATGACTTGGGTTTTTATATCTTAAGAGCTCTCCTGTTTTAAGCACTAAATGTACTGCTAGATCTTAAAAATTGGTTTGGGTGAAATATTGGAAACAATTAAATGTTAAATAGTTGGGGGAAGGTGAATGCATTAACTCAGTGGGTTATGGTGCAGCCATGAGAATAATGAGGACAATCATAAAGCAGCTTGGGAAGTTGTGTAACAATAAGCATGAAGGAAAACATTATGAAACTGTATTTGTATTCTGAGGGTGACCTGCAAAAGCTTGCACCCGGGCAGGAAGTAGAAGCAGCACGAAGCCTGAGCACAATTACTCCGCTTGAGTGGGTGTAGTAGTTGTCTGTTGCTAAACTAATGGCAAGTAACAAACACTACAGAAAGTAGGGGCTTAAAACAGCAACCATTGTTCATTGCTTGTGAGTTTGGTTGGGTGGATCTTTCGATCTGGTAGCCTTAGCTGATCCTGCCTGAGGTCACTCATGCTTCTGTGGTCACCCGGTGGGTCACCTGGGGCTTGGCTGGTCTAGGACGCTCTTGGCTAGGACAGCAGAGGCTGCTGTCCACAAATCTGTCACATCCCCCCAAGCCAGCTAGCAGGGGCTTATACTCGCGGTGGCAGTTGGGGTCCCGGAAGGAGAACGGAAGCTCTCTAGGCCCTTCAGGTCTCATCTCAGAAGTGGCACGTCACCTCTTCTGCCACATTCTTTCTGGCCAAAGCGAGGCCAAGGGATACACGTCTGGGCCCAGGCAGCTTCCCCTCCCTGTGTAGGAACCCTGTGCAGGAGCCCTGGGCTGCATGTGAGAAGCCTGGCTCTCCTGGTACTGTCTTGCTGGAGAGGTGGTGGGTAGGTGCTATGCGTGGCCACGCTGGGCCCGCCAAGGTGCCAGACACACAAATGAAGCCGCCTTGGACTCTCCAGATCAGCTTATCTACCAGCTGGATACCACTGAGTTGCCACCTGGAGCACAAGGATGCTCAGCTGAGCTCCACCCAAATTCTTGACCCACAAAACCAGGAGACATAATAGGATGGGTGTTGCCTTAAGGTGCCAACGATGGGCAGTACCAGAGCACAACTCATCACACACCTGAGGATGGGGGGCAACCAGCTCGTTATTTTAAAAATTGATAAGTAAAGAGAAAGAATCAAGCATTTAGTCTTTCCTGTATGAGCTATTTTTCAAGGTACCTAAGTTGTTGAAGGGAAATTACTCCTTGTAGAAATATTCCTGCTAATAAATAAAGACAAATGAAAGAGTAGAATATCACCATTTTGCACCCCTAATGAATAGGGTGCCTGTTCAGTTACAGGGGCCACCAACCCCTGGGCAGCTGACCATTTTAATGTCCTGGTCCGAATGGAGACGTGCTGTAAGTGTGAGAGACACACCACGGTTTGAAGACTTAACCTGAAGAAGCAAATGTAAGAGTCCTCAGCGCTAAGTCTGATGTTGATTCTGGGTTGAAATGCTAATACTTTGGATATATTGGGTTAAATAAGATAATATTGTTAACATTATTTTCACGTGGCTGTTGGAAATTCACTGCCTGGGTGTCTCAAGTGTGGGTCCCATTAGGTTTCTGGTGGCCGGCGCTGCTCCAGGCAGTGTTCAGCGATCAGCGGCGGCCCCGTGGGAGAGGCCCGCCGGCTGGATGTGCCTGTCAGTGGCTGTAATCGCCACCTGGGTGCAGCCTTGCACAAGGCTTGACCTGCAGCTCATCAGACCTCTGGGGCTGCCTCCCAGTGTACAGAAAATACAGGCCGGCAGAGCTCACTAAATAAGAAGGAGCCGCTGAGATGCCCTGCAGGACAGACGACCAGTGCCTTCAGCAAATAAATGCGGAGAGAAAAAAGGGAGGGAGAGTGTATAGATTAAAAAGAGACGTGAGACACACAGAACCCAAGAATGGACCGGCAGTTACCAAAGGGAAAGGCACTGGGGAGGGAGAAGGGGATTAAGGGGCATTATGATTAGCACACATAACATGGGGGGGGGGGCACGGGGAAAGCAGCATAGCCCAGAGAAGACAAGTAATGACTCTATAGCATCTTACTACACTGATGGACAGTGACTGTAATGGGGTACGTGGTGGCGACTTGATAATGGGAGTCTAGTAACCACAGTGTTGCTCATATGACTGTATATTAATGATACCATAATAATAATAAAAAAAGATGTGAGACAGAACGGCGAATGAGAAGCCTTTATTTGCACAAGCTGTGAAAACTTTGTCAAACAGTGAATTTTGGATGCCGATTAATGTTTGATGACATTCAGGATTACTGCTACTTTTTTATAAATTGTGATGATAGTGTAAGTAGGATATCATGTAATGTAAAAAGGAGTCCCTAACTATTGGTCTTACAGGAATATTTTGGGTGAAATAATACATTGGGGAATTGCAGCAACATCGGCCTGTGTGTGGGGACTGGGTGTGTACAGACGAAACAAGGCTGGAATGCACGGTGACAACTGTTGAAGCTGGGCGGCAGGGTGGTTACACTTTTCTCCCCACTTCTGCATACGGTTGAGCTTCTCTGTAATCAGTTTTTTAAAAAATCCCTTTATTCTAATGATCGTGGAATCAAAAGAAACCCTCTGGGTGCTTGAGGCACACACTCTTTATGTCTGTGGCCTGGGATGAAGCAGGCAGGGACCACAGAGCAAGAAGCCACGCAGCCACCTGCCTTGCTTTGTGACTGCGGCTTCCTGATGGGCACTAGCCCCTCCATCCTTCCTGCCGCCTCTCTGGCCTGGTGAGGGTGGCGGGCGCAGCAGGGAGGCTGGTTTTCCCAGAGGATTAGAGGAAATCGTTTCTCTTTTAGCTCTCTCCTACAGCGGGGTGCATCCCAGTTCAGCTGGCCTGGAAGAGAGCTCTCCCAGAGGTGAAGTGCCAGCTCAGGACCCTTAAATAATCCTGTGATTGTGGTTTTAAGAAGTCCCTGTCCTGCCTGACTTTGGCTGCAAATATTGTGTAAATGAGTTTTCCAATTTGAAAGTCTGAAAGACGTTGTCTTTCACTAGTTTGTTATCAAATCAATGATACCGTTAATTGATAAACATTTATGGAGCATCTGCTCTGTGCCAGAGAGTGGAGCCGCTCAGGGCACAGCACCAGAACAGCTCCTGCCTGAGATGGCCTAGGTCAGGAAGCATCACTGGGCGCTCTGCTGTGCCGCTGTGGGCCTGGCATCCCTTGCTCAGGTCGGGGTGGGGAACAGGTGAGCCTCTGAGGGCACGTCCTGCGGCTCTGATGACAGCTGCCCCCCCCGGGGTGCACTCTGAGCCTGTCCCGTGTGCCCCTCTGTGCTTGTCTTTCAGGATGAGTGTGCAAACCATCCGCAGTGTTTTCAGCGTTGAAACCGGCTATCGGCTCTCAGACGATCAAATAGTCAACCATTTTCCAAACCACTATGAACTAACCCGGAAGGACCTGATGGTGAAGAATATTAAAAGATACAGGAAAGAGCTGGAGAAAGAAGGGAGTCCTCTGGCAGAAAAAGATGAGAACGGGAAATACCTCTACCTGGGTTTGTGCCTTCTTCACCAGCCTCATGTCTTAAATAAAGTTGAGATTTTTACCTCCGCAGAAGCAGGCAGCGAGAGGTGATTGTGGCTCTGATGGGTGAGTGCGTGGGTCCGGTTGTGGCGGACACCTCATTCATTCCGAGTGCGTCCAGCAGTGGGGATTCAAGTTTGGAATCTGAGTTTTCGTGAATGTGAAATGTGATGCATACAAGGGAGACAATGTCCTGGGTGCCCAGCCTGGGGTGGGGGTGGGGGGTGCGGTGCATCCGGGGGATGGGGACCCACGTCCTGAGCCATAGACTGCCCTCCGGGATCATTACCACATCTAGCAATGGATGCCCAGGGAGAACCGTATGTCCCGTCCTGTCTGCTGATAAAAGCTGAATGTCAGATAGTTTCAGAATCCCTTTACATACCTGGGAAAAATCAGATAACTGGCTTCTCTGGGCCTCAGTTTCCTCATCTGATAATGGGAATGGTAACAGTACCTGGTTCACAGGTGGCTGTGGGGATTAAATGATACAGATTTCTAATGCTTAGCACATGGGTGATAAAGGTACTTAACTGCGCAGGAACTGAATAGCCGAAGTCCTTGTACTGTTAGATGCTGACTTGGGGCTGGAGTAATGGAGCAGGCCCCCAAAAAGGCAGTGGCAGGATTCTGCTCGTGGCCACTGTTGGGCAGGCTCACCATTGTCCCCCTCTACTTTACTTTCAGACTTTGTCCCGGTCACCTACATGCTGCCCGCTGACTACAACCTGTTCGTGGAGGAGTTCAGGAAAAGTCCCTCCAGCACCTGGATCATGAAACCCTGTGGCAAAGCCCAGGGAAAGGGCATCTTCCTGATCAACAAGCTCTCGCAGGTCAAAAAGTGGTCCCGGGACAGCAAAACTTCTTCGTAAGTTTGGGCAACCACCCATCCCATGGGCTTCTGAGTCAGCGGTTTCCTGTCACCTGTCAGTCGCCCAGCCGAGGGCTGGGTGGCCTTTGCTCTTATATATGGACCCCATTTGTCACCTGTGACAGGCTACTGCAAGGCTCTGGGGCTACAGCCTCGTTAATCGTAGAGTGTCACCTGAGGAAAGTCGCAAAGGGAAAGGTGCCTGAACCAGTCTAAGGCCACAGGAGCAGGGCCCTCAAGGGCCGCTGAAAGTTGGTGTAAGATCCATCTAGTCCTGGTATTTCTGAAGCAGCAAAGTAAAATTTTGTTTGGTAGACTCTTAGATTCCTCATGGGGTAAGCTGGGAACCCTAACAGCACCACCCTTGGGGTGGGGAGCATGTTAATCTGAGTAAAGCACTTAGGGGAGTGCTGGCACCCCAGCAGTCAGGCAGCACGTATCATTGGGAGCACTAGGCAGCCTGTCAGGGTTTGGGACCTGAGGCTCCCAGCCAGGGGACCTCATCCGGGGCTCCCTCTCCCTCGGTGAGGTCCTTAACTGCCTGGAGATGCCTGGAGGCTACGCTCAGTGTGATCCTTCCTGGTGGGCTGATGGCCCTCCTGTCAGCAGCTCCCAGGAGTGGCAGGGACACCCTCTCGTGAAACCTGACCGCGTGTTGCCAGGGTCAGGCCCAGGGAGCACATCCCGGATGGGTTCCCAGGAGCTGCGGGGACTGTCCTCTGTGGATGCTGCCTCACCCCCATTTTTTCCCTCATAAACTGGCCTTTCAGTGAGAGGTAGAGGGCTTGTGGCCAGCCTACTGATGTACCTTTGGTCTAATTTTGTCTTTCTGTGACACGTCTAGGTTTGTGTCTCAGTCTACTAAGGAGGCCTACGTGATCTCTCTCTATATTAACAACCCCTTACTGATTGGCGGAAGGAAGTTTGACCTGCGCTTGTACGTCCTGGTGTCCACGTACCGCCCGCTGCGCTGTTACATGTAAGAGCCCTGGAGTTTTGTTTGCATTCTTAATATTGTGCACCGACGCAATGCTTCATACTCCCTGGTGCCACTGAGGACTGGGAAAGCACACCATACGCACAGTGCCCGGCACGGCGTAGGTATGGAATAAAATGGTTAAATCTTGATCCCCCATGAATCTTGAAAGATAAAAAGCAGCTCTTTAACCTGGCAAATATGCCCAGTGAGGGAAGCCAGGCACAGAAGGCCACATACTGTGTATTTCTGTCTACATGAGACGCCCAGAATAGGCACGTCTTTAGAGGTAGGAAGTAGATGAGTGTTTGCCTAGCAGTGAGGTTGGGAGGGAATACTAATGGTCATGGGCAGCTTTTGGGGTGATGGAAATGTGAAGCTGATCGGGGCGATGGCTGCACAGTTCTGGCTATACCAAGACCACCGAGGTGACGCTTTAAGTGGATGCGTTAGGTGGTGTGTGAGTTATATTCTAATTAAGCTGTTGTAAAAAACAAACACAGGGGCTCGTTCAGGAGAACAGGGCCAGGCTGTGTGTGCGCTCCTCACCAGTGCGCTGAACTAACGGCGACTCCTGCTTAGGTACAAGCTGGGGTTCTGCCGCTTTTGCACAGTCAAGTACACGCCCAGCACCAGCGAGCTGGACAACATGTTCGTCCATCTCACCAACGTCGCCATCCAGAAACATGGGGTGAGTGTTTCTTTCCAGTTGAGCTGAAGGAAATGGGCGGATTTGGTGGGGTTTTTTCTTTCTCTGCTTGCCCCTGAGGGCGGGGTGGGGACGGGCAACAGCCAAGAGGCCCTGGCCGTGAAGGGTGGAGCTCTAAGTGTCAGTGGGCTGGATGTCTGGTGCATCTGCTGGACTGGCCTGGGGGGTGGCGCATGGAGAAAGCAAGCCCCGGGTTCAAGTCCTTCCTTCTGGGCTCTGTGACCTTGGGCGAGTTAGTTGACTTTCAGAGTCTGTTTCTCACGGTAAAAGGGGATAAGGTTAGGGCTGCCGGAGGGCGAGGTGGGAGGACGCACGCTCGGTCATTCCTCCGTTCAGCAGATGCTCACCGAGCTCCTGCCTGGGCCAGCCCCACGCTAAGGCTGGGGCTGTACCGATGAGCTGCTCGGGGCCTACGTTCGTTGGGCCCGGAGCGCTCTGGGGGAGGACACTCATCCAACAGCCACACCGGTGACTGTGTCACCACAACCTGAGGTGCAGGCTCACAGGGAAGAAGTGCGGGTGAAGAACACGGACTGCAGGCGTCCCCTGGTCCCTGGTCCCGGTGGTCGGAGGATGTCTCCATGCAGCAGTGGTGCCTGGCAGGGATCTGAAGCATGAGCAGGGGTCACCAAGGTGCCAGTGGGCAAAGAGGGTCCTAGTGGAGGGTACAGCGGGTGCCAGGGCCCCTTGGCAGGAAGAAGCACTGCGGGAGCTGAGCAGAGGTCAGGGTGGCGGGAGCCCCTGGGGGGAGGGTGGTAGAGCAGGGGGTATCTGGGGAGGCCGGCAAGGGCAGCACACAGGCCTCCTAGGTTGTGTGTAGACTCAGGGGCTTTCATCTCCCTGGGCCTCCTCGTCTGCAAACAGGAGCCCTGGTGTGTACCTTCTGGACATGAAGTGACGGCGGCCACTGTTTCCTGAGGGCCATGACTGTCGTCCTTGTGCCGCCAAGCCCGGTCCACCTGCCCACCAGGGTTTCTGAGAGCAAACTGAGCGGGCATCATTGGCACAGTGCTCGAGGTTAGAGGAGAAAGGATCACTTGGCCAAAACCTTATTTGTAAGATTTGGGAAAACGTGATACAACACAAGACTTAAGAGCCACGTGGGGAAAGCTGAGCAGTGACATCAGACCCTTTGTGGCCAAGTAGCACATTTGGTCGAGTCTGGGTGTGGGGCGGAAGCTGCCGTGATCGGCCCTGAATCCACGGATGTCCCTGAGGACAGCGCAGAGTGTGTTGGCCTGCCAGGCCGCCTCGATCCAGGTGCCAGGCTGAAATCGAGAGGGCCCCATTCAGTGGGCCTTCTCAGGAAGCTGGTCAGCTGGCTCACTATTTTCCATCAGTAAGAAACAGAAAACATTTTTTAAAAATCTGTGAAAGCAGAATGCCGAACTCAAGCTTGGCATCCCCATGACGTGCTAGAAGCAGCAGTGCTTTCTGTACTGATTCTGTTTGTAAGCGCTTTGCTTGTTAATGCAAGAAAGTGCTCACTCCCAGAAACCTAAGTTTCACCTTAAAGGAGAGGTTCATGGGGCTCTCATTTGGAATTGCATGAAGAATAGATGATCCTTTAAACACTGAAATGTCGTGAAGCGGTTGCTGGGCCGCGCCTTACCAAGTGCCCGGGCTGCCTGGCTCTCGGGGCGGACGCAGCCCTGCCCTCAGGAGGCTCCCAGGCCCGCGGGGGAGGCAGGCTGCAGAGGGCCGAGGCCACTGGAAGCTGCGAACCCTGAGCTGAGGTGGGGGTGCTTGATCCCGGGGGCAGGAGGGTTTCAGCAGGTGGAGAAGGGCAGGAGAGCAGGAGCATGTCCCGAAACGTGCTGTTGTTTGCAGATTGACTTGATAAAAGTCTTGAAATAAATCTGACAAGATGGTGCCCTTCAGGCCAAACAACGGGAGCTGTTCACTTGCTTTATATATCTACACACCTAAGACAGTGTTTTACCTCTAGAACTTATTTTTCGAAATAAATAGACTTCTTGTTAGAAAAGAGAACCTGTGACTGGAAAAAGAAAGGTATTGGTGTGCTGTTCGGGGGAAGAAATTTCCTCTACACCCACCCCCCCAGGTTCTTCTAGCTGGTTAAGAATTGCATTGACATGAGACAGACTAACAGGAGGAAAAAACAGCATTTCATTACATACGTACAGGGAGGCTACATGAGGTTCCCAAGTCAGGGAGAGTGAGGCATGTCCGGAAAGGGGAAGCAACTCAGGGGGACGCAGAACAGTAAATGTTTGATAAACAAATGTCAGCTGGGCCGCACAGAAACAATGGGCCACGGAGGGAACTTAAACAGACTTTGCTCACGTGCCCCCCTGCCTACCGCACTAGGTTACATCATGATGGGGTGTCTACCGCAGGGCTCTCCTCCTGGGGCACGCCCTCCATCTAAATGCTTTTTATGCGGTGAGGTGGGGAAGGGCAGAGTTTCTGCGTCTCTTGGGCCTTGATTGCTGTCAGCTCTGAAATAACCTGCATGTCACAGTAGCACATATAGAGGGGCCTGCCCTCGGCCCCGCCAGCAGGCAGCCTGGTTTGTCCTAGAACTTCTTAGAGGCCCATTTTTTAAGGACACAAACACTAAGTTATTTGAGAGTCCATTTCAGGTGAAGAAGCTTAGGCACCTCACCTTCTAGTGTATTTTAGATGCAAAAAAGGAATTTGTCTCTAACCTCGAAAAGGTGTTTTTTAGAACTATGGTCAGTTCTCTGTTTTATAAGAAAACCAAGTCTGTTCTGAGTCCCTGGTGTTTGTTGGTTGTTAGGCTGCTCTTGTTGTAGTTCACAGCTCTCAACTTTATTCTTAGAGAATGAAATCCCAGTCTCATAAACTTCCAATATACTTCACTATTTTCTAGCATGTTGCCCCCCAGGGAAGGCAGTGTGTGGCATTCAGGGACAGAGAAAGAGAAATCACACTGAACTGGCATCCGAAAACCTGGGCGAGGGTCCCAGCTCCACCCCAGCCTGGATGAAAGCTAGGGAACCCCTCTGAGCCCATGTCTTCTTACTCAGGAGATGGGACGTTGTGAGGGTGTCACCTGCGAGTGGTGCCCGGCACGGGGGTGTCCCAGGATGGCTTCTCCAGGGAACAGACTCAGAGGCGGGGGCTGAGTGGGCAGGAGGTGTCCCAGGGCCCCATGTTGGGAGCAACACAGGAGGGAGTGGAGGGGACGGGGCCCACAGGGCGGAGGGCAGGTTGAGTTGAGATGTAGCCACAGCAGGGGCCCAGCTAACCCAGCACCCTGTAGAGCTGCCCTGGATGGCGGCCGGGGTCAGTACCCTGGCATCAACCTGTCACGCGCAGCAGGCTGCCTGGGCAGGGCGTAACCTTGGGTTATGCAGCTTCCTTTCACCAAGGGTAGCTCCCAGGGAGTCTCTGCTGGAAGAATGGGGGCCTTGGCCTTGAAGGGGTCTGGGTGGCACAGCAAGGTGTAAATGATTTCTTGTGAGAAGAGAGGTATTTTGAAAACATGCACGGAGGAGGCGCAGATCCCCTGATGGGACAGGGTGGACGGGGGCATGCACTGGATTCCTCTGGATCAGTGCTGGGCCTGCCCCTCTCCTGTCGCCAGGAGGACTACAACCACATCCACGGGGGCAAGTGGACCGTGAACAACCTGCGGCTCTACCTGGAGAGCACCCGGGGCAAGGAGGTGACGGGCAAGCTGTTTGATGAGATCCACTGGATCATCGTGCAGTCCCTGAAGGCCGTGGCGGTGAGGAGGGGTGCAGGCGGCCCAGGTGTGGGGGGCGTAGGGTGGCCTGTTACCTTTTGCTGTTTTAAGTCTCGCCTCCCACCAGTCCGGTAAGGGCCAGCCAGTTTCCGGGAGGGAGAGGCTATACTGGGAGCCGGGCCTACTGCTGCTGCCAGGGGCTTGGGAGACGCCCGTGGCATTGCTGTCGCCTCCCCTGTGCCCGTGAGATCAAGAAGGAATGTTTCGGCCTGAGTTGGTACATATGGGAGGGCTTTCGGCAGCAAGGCTTCCTGCGCTGCTGTTTCACAGACATGTGGGGCAGCAGGAAACCTGAGTATGTTTCCTCGGCCTCATATTTGCTGGCCAGTGTGCTGTTGTGTGTTGCTTTCCTGTTCTAGAGCAGATGCACACCTGTGTCCAAGGGGATCGAAAGGAATAAACCCGGTCACGAGTGTGTGGCCCTGTGAAGGGCTCATCGCCCCGTAAGCAAACAGCACTCAGCCGGGAGCCGAGGGGTGGGCTTCTCCCCAGTCTTATACAAAAGCAAAATCTTAGAGAAGAGCCGCCAGGGCCAGGCAGCCAGAGGTACCCCACACTGGGGTGGAGTCGAACACGTGGGAAATGCTGTTTTGGGGAAAGTGTGACAAGGGTTTGGCACCACGGTGATTGGGCATGAAAGTTCTTGTGTGAACCTATTCAGTGGAACCCTCTCCATTTTTACCTCTGAGAATGTCAACCCGTACCAATCCTTGATGATGAATAGCTCTGTCAAAACAGCCGCTCAAAGAAAGAAAGCAGTGACCCTTCTGGTGACACCTGGCCCTCAGGTCCTGAGTTGAGCACATCCTGCTTCACAAAGTGCTACGTGCCTCTGTCCTTTGTCTTTGTCTTACAGGAAAGATTTGGGGAAAAAAATCCCAGGATGCAGCTCATCCCATTAATTGTTGGAGATAAGGTCTTAGGGACCACGTTTGCATCCCCTGCCCCAGAAGCCTTCTTGCACCCCCGTGGTCTGGGCAGGGGTCACAGGAGTGAGCATGGAGTTCAGGCTCAGATTCCCAGCTGGGCCTCCCCAGACCCCCTGCCAACCAAGAATGCCGAACTCAAGCTTGGCATCCCCATGACGTGCTAGAAGCAGCAGTGCTTTCTGTACTGATTCTGTTTGTAAGCGCTTTGCTTGTTAATGCAAGAAAGTGCTCACTCCCAGAAACCTAAGTTTCACCTTAAAGGAGAGGTTCAAGGGGCTCTCATTTGGAATTGCATGAAGAATAGATGATCCTTTAAACACTGAAATGTCGTGAAGCGGTTGCTGGGCCGCGCCTTACCAAGTGCCCGGGCTGCCTGGCTCTCGGGGCGGACGCAGCCCTGCCCTCAGGAGGCTCCCAGGCCCGCGGGGGAGGCAGGCTGCAGAGGGCCGAGGCCACTGGAAGCTGCGAACCCTGAGCTGAGGTGGGGGTGCTTGATCCCGGGGGCAGGAGGGTTTCAGCAGGTGGAGAAGGGCAGGAGAGCAGGAGCATGTCCCGAAACGTGCTGTTGTTTGCAGATTGACTTGATAAAAGTCTTGAAATAAATCTGACAAGATGGTGCCCTTCAGGCCAAACAACGGGAGCTGTTCACTTGCTTTATATATCTACACACCTAAGACAGTGTTTTACCTCTAGAACTTATTTTTCGAAATAAATAGACTTCTTGTTAGAAAAGAGAACCTGTGACTGGAAAAAGAAAGGTATTGGTGTGCTGTTCGGGGGAAGAAATTTCCTCTACACCCACCCCCCCAGGTTCTTCTAGCTGGTTAAGAATTGCATTGACATGAGACAGACTAACAGGAGGAAAAAACAGCATTTCATTACATACGTACAGGGAGGCTACATGAGGTTCCCAAGTCAGGGAGAGTGAGGCATGTCCGGAAAGGGGAAGCAACTCAGGGGGACGCAGAACAGTAAATGTTTGGTAAACAAATGTCAGCTGGGCCGCACAGAAACAGTGGGCCACGGAGGGAACTTAAACAGACTTTGCTCACGTGCCCCCCTGCCTACCACGCTAGGTTACATCATGATGGGGTGTCTACCGCGGGGCTCTCCTCCTGGGGCACGCCCTCCATCTAAATGCTTTTTATGCGGTGAGGTGGGGAAGGGCAGAGTTTCTGCGTCTCTTGGGCCTTGATTGCTGTCAGCTCTGAAATAACCTGCATGTCACAGTAGCACATACAGAGGGGCCTGCCCTCAGCCCCGCCAGCAGGCAGCCTGGTTTGTCCTAGAACTTCTTAGAGGCCCATTTTTTAAGGACACAAACACTAAGTTATTTGAGAGTCCATTTCAGGTGAAGAAGCTTAGGCACCTCACCTTCTAGTGTATTTTAGATGCGAAAAAGGAATTTGTCTCTAACCTCGAAAAGGTGTTTTTTAGAACTATGGTCAGTTCTCTGTTTTTATAAGAAAACCAAGTCTGTTCTGAGTCCCTGGTGTTTGTTGGTTGTTAGGCTGCTCTTGTTGTAGTTCACAGCTCTCAACTTTATTCTTAGAGAATGAAATCCCAGTCTCATAAACTTCCAATATACTTCACTATTTTCTAGCATGTTGCCCCCCAGGGAAGGCAGTGTGTGGCATTCAGGGACAGAGAAAGAGAAATCACACTGAACTGGCATCCAAAAACCTGGGCGAGGGTCCCAGCTCCACCCCAGCCTGGATGAAAGCTAGGGAACCCCTCTGAGCCCATGTCTTCTTACTCAGGAGATGGGACGTTGTGAGGGTGTCACCTGCGAGTGGTGCCCGGCACGGGGGTGTCCCAGGATGGCTTCTCCAGGGAACAGACTCAGAGGCGGGGGCTGAGTGGGCAGGAGGTGTCCCAGGGCCCCATGTTGGGAGCAACACAGGAGGGAGTGGAGGGGACGGGGCCCACAGGGCGGAGGGCAGGTTGAGTTGAGATGTAGCCACAGCAGGGGCCCAGCTAACCCAGCACCCTGTAGAGCTGCCCTGGATGGCGGCCGGGGTCAGTACCCTGGCATCAACCTGTCACGCACAGCAGGCTGCCTGGGCAGGGCGTAACCTTGGGTTACGCAGCTTCCTTTCACCAAGGGTAGCTCCCAGGGAGTCTCTGCTGGAAGAATGGGGGCCTTGGCCTTGAAGGGGTCTGGGTGGCACAGCAAGGTGTAAATGATTTCTTGTGAGAAGAGAGGTATTTTGAAAACATGCACGGAGGAGGCGCAGATCCCCTGATGGGACAGGGTGGACGGGGGCATGCACTGGATTCCTCTGGATCAGTGCTGGGCCTGCCCCTCTCCTGTCGCCAGGAGGACTACAACCACATCCACGGGGGCAAGTGGACTGTGAACAACCTGCGGCTCTACCTGGAGAGCACCCGGGGCAAGGAGGTGACGGGCAAGCTGTTTGATGAGATCCACTGGATCATCGTGCAGTCCCTGAAGGCCGTGGCGGTGAGGAGGGGTGCAGGCGGCCCAGGTGTGGGGGGCGTAGGGTGGCCTGTTACCTTTTGCCTGTTTTAAGTCTCGCCTCCCACCAGTCCGGTAAGGGCCAGCCAGTTTCCGGGAGGGAGAGGCTATACTGGGAGCCGGGCCTACTGCTGCTGCCAGGGGCTTGGGAGACGCCCGTGGCATTGCTGTCGCCTCCCCTGTGCCCGTGAGATCAAGAAGGAATGTTTCGGCCTGAGTTGGTACATATGGGAGGGCTTTCGGCAGCAAGGCTTCCTGCGCTGCTGTTTCACAGACATGTGGGGCAGCAGGAAACCTGAGTATGTTTCCTCGGCCTCATATTTGCTGGCCAGTGTGCTGTTGTGTGTTGCTTTCCTGTTCTAGAGCAGATGCACACCTGTGTCCAAGGGGATCGAAAGGAATAAACCCGGTCACGAGTGTGTGGCCCTGTGAAGGGCTCATCGCCCCGTAAGCAAACAGCACTCAGCCGGGAGCCGAGGGGTGGGCTTCTCCCCAGTCTTATACAAAAGCAAAATCTTAGAGAAGAGCCGCCAGGGCCAGGCAGCCAGAGGTACCCCACACTGGGGTGGAGTCGAACACGTGGGAAATGCTGTTTTGGGGAAAGTGTGACAAGGGTTTGGCACCACGGTGATTGGGCATGAAAGTTCTTGTGTGAACCTATTCAGTGGAACCCTCTCCATTTTTACCTCTGAGAATGTCAACCCGTACCAATCCTTGATGATGAATAGCTCTGTCAAAACAGCCGCTCAAAGAAAGAAAGCAGTGACCCTTCTGGTGACACCTGGCCCTCAGGTCCTGAGTTGAGCACATCCTGCTTCACAAAGTGCTACGTGCCTCTGTCCTTTGTCTTTGTCTTACAGGAAAGATTTGGGGAAAAAAATCCCAGGATGCAGCTCATCCCATTAATTGTTGGAGATAAGGTCTTAGGGACCACGTTTGCGTCCCCTGCCCCAGAAGCCTTCTTGCACCCCCGTGGTCTGGGCAGGGGTCACAGGAGTGAGCATGGAGTTCAGGCTCAGATTCCCAGCTGGGCCTCCCCAGACCCCCTGCCAACCATCACCTTTGCACAAGTGCCCCCTTCTCTGAGCCTCCCAGGCTTCCTCTGTGAAATTGGGGTCCTGACACCGATGCCATGGAGTGGCTGAATGACCACGCTCTGCAGAGGTGAACTTAGTGACTGGGAGAGAGGGGAGAGCAGCAGGCCGCCCACATATGTGGCATGTGACCCTCAGGCCCAATCATGCTGGCTCTTCCTGGCCACCTCGGTCTCCCCTGTGCAGTGGGGCTTTAGAAGCAGCTGGCTGTTTACTCAAGAAAAGCCACCTCTGGCCCCGGCCCCCACCTGTCTCACAGCTGCATCTTCTGGCAAGTGGCTCTGAATGTCTCCTGGACCTTGACCTCTTGAGCTAAAACACTGTAGGCTTTCTCAAGACTCCGATGGGTTTATTCATTTTTATTTGCTTAGCAAACATTTAGTCACCCCGTTTTTACCAGGTGTGTCGCCTTCTGAGAATGTGGGGGAGGGACAGCAGGGAGACGGGAGGCTGTAGAGATGCAGAAGAAGGGCCTGGTGCCGATGTGAGGTGGGTTTCTGGACCGTGTGGCAGGGCGCCAGACCCACAACACGACTCAGGATGCAGAAGCCCGGCGCCACAGCCTGGGGGGCAGGGATTCGGGCCCTTGACAGCGGGATTGGGGAATGACAGAAGGGTTGGTGACTTCCTGTCCTGCAAGGACACTCTGGGATAGCGGTGTGAGCACTGGCCGGGGCGAGGGCACCAGGCACTCATGCACACGCAAGTCCTCTAAATCCCCTGATGGAAGAACCCCGGTTTTCCTCAGTGAGGTTGGACCGGCCTAGCTCCCCCTTAGGAATTTCTGGTTCTAAGTCCCAACATTGTAGGGAAGGTCTGCGCGCTCACTGACGTAGGAAACGTCTGTGTCTGTGTGCTTCACTCGCCGTGGGGACATGAGAGTCCCCAGGGTGTGTGTGACATTGCTGCTAGCTGGGCCGCTCCCACAGGTCTAATCCAGGCAGACCAAGCAGGACCTGGGAATCTGCATTGCAAGCAAGCAGCTGGTGAGTTTGTTAATACACCTGGAGAGTGGCTCACAAAATGGAATTGAAAGTCAAAAAGAAAATCCAAAACTTTTAAGAAAACACACTGACTCTTGTCAGAGAACAGAGATTCGTGACCTGACACCACAGACCCCTAAGGGCCTGTGAAGAGACTAAGGGCCTGGTGGACAGTGTTTGCTTGTTTTTGATGAGGCTGCACAGGCCTTAATTCAGGGTGTCTGGGCGGGGAGCTGGACCTTGTCCCTGCTGAGGACAGCCCCAGGCCGATGCAAATGGTCAGTGCCGGTCATCAAGCCTCTGATGACAAGACCGGGAGTCCCAGCGACTGCTTTGTGAAGTTCCCTCCCAAGGCTGAGGAACGTTACATCCCTGAGCCCTGTAGGCAGACCAGGGAAGGACGGGCGGGAACCACCGGTCTCAGGAGTGAGACACCGCTCGACCAGCGGGGAGGAGCTCGCTGCTGCTTGAACGCCCGCATCTCTGGGGTGCAGGTCTCTGCTGGGCCCTTTTGGTACTGGCCCTATAACCTGCTGCTCACTCTCTCTGCAGCCGGTGATGAACAACGACAAACACTGCTTCGAGTGCTACGGCTACGACATCATCATAGACGACAGGCTGAAGCCCTGGCTGATTGAGGTACCCACACAGCACCGACACGGCTCCTAGGGTGCCCCCGCCTGGCCACCAGCTCACCAGTCCCCCAGCCAAATGCTTCTCAGGCTCAGGGGCAGGGCTGGGGCAGATGAGTTTTTTAAATGTAACAGGGACAGGTGTTCGGGTGGGACAGGTTTGCTCTTGGTTGAAAGTGAGCACACCCCGATCCTTCACCTTCGGCGAGCCCAACCCCGGGAGCGGAAGCCTCTTCCCTCGGCGCAGTGAGCTCGGCGGCCGGTGGCCCGATGCCCCGGCACTCCCAGGGGCTTCCGGGTGAGGCCCTGCTCCCAAGGCCCTGCCCTGTCCTCATGCAGACATTGTTCCCATTCAGGAAAGGCACCCCTGGGAAGTGATAGGATACTGACTGGAGATAAGAAACATTGTCTGCTTTGGATGAAGCATAGTTTGGACGTGGATTCACTGCCTGTTTCATCCTGGCGTGGACAGGATGTAGCTGGCTGTTCTAGAGAGGGCGTGGTGCATACACCTCTTCCTGGGGATGCTGCCTCGGCGGCAGTGCGCTCTGGCACACCTGTCTGAGGCCCAGATGTGGGGCCCACCCCGTGGGGTTGCATGCTTTGCTCAGCTGCCAGGGAGAGGAGCTAGTGGTTCATCTCCTGGCATGTGCCTGGGCACTGTCTTCTCACCATGCTCACATGGAGGTGGACGGCTCAGGCCTTTATCTTGGCCCCATTTCAAGCCAGGAAAGCCAAGTCTCTAGAGCAGGTCGTAGACCGTGGCCCCTTGTAGGGCAAGTCTGTGAAGCCCCTGCAGGATGCTGCTCAGAGCGCAGACTGTCAGGGAGGGAGCTGCACTCCGTGTTCACATGTACACCGCCGAAGCTGCATGAGTGTGCGGTGTGTGCAGACATACGCAGGGAACCAGTGATACCTGCAGATTCATATGCAGAATACTAATGTTTTCTTCCAAACAGAGTAACTTGAATGGAAGTCAAGCTTTCCTCAATGAGCTAGGGTCTTAATTATGAACATTACTTCTAACATAATACCAGATTTTAGCTTTAGCATATTCATGAAAAGAATGACATCATGATATACACAGTCGTCACCTCAGGGCACCTGGGGTCCATACAGTCCCTTTCAGGGTACACATCAGGTACCCTGCTGGCAGCACTGGACGCAGTCTGACTGGGAGGAACCTGGATAATCGCACGTTGGCCGCTTCTACTTGCCCGTGGCCAGAGCAAAGGCTGGTGAGGCCAGTACAGCTGTGCCTCAAATAAGAGTAAATGGCTGGTGACCAAGGGCCTCTGGGACTCTCCACAGAGTGAATCTGAATTTTAACCAGTGGATTCTGTGACATAGCTCCTCTGAGGCCTTATGGGGCCAACTTTCCATTTATTAGGTGGGTTCCCCATCTGGGTCAGAATGTTGCTTTGTTGATGAGATATCACTCTCCCAGCAAAAGACGAGCCCCATACCTTTTACTTCAACCCCATTATGTTACTTGATCAGGGTCATTCGGTTCACTGGTTCCATCAGTGTGCCGGGGTAGCTTTTGGTACTTGGGACAGAGCTCATCACACAGGTGGACACTGAAAACATGTCTGTGATGTACGTTGACTTAAATGTTTATTTGTGTAGTGACTTTTAAATCCTAATCCTGTTTTTAAATAGTATGTGTATTTCATCCAACAGCTAAAAAAAGTCACAAAATACTTTCAAGGTGCCCCAAAGATATTAGATATTAACAGTATGAAACGACAGCTTTACCTAAATGTGCAGGGGCAGCGTTTTCTTCTGCATGTTCTCACCCCCAAGGAGTAAGCTGCCCAGTTGACCAGCATGGCGTCTTTCCTCTCTAGGTGAATGCGTCCCCGTCTCTCACCTCCAGCACCGCCAATGATCGAATCCTTAAGTATAACCTGATTAATGACACCCTCAATATCGCGGTTCCTAACGGCGAAATCCCAGACTGTAAATGGAACAAGTCACCCCCAAAGGAAGTTCTTGGCAATTATGAAATCCTGTAAGTCTGTGTGTGATGGTGGTGGTCCTTGTGAGTTTGAGATGAGGGGTGCCGAGGCCCCACTTGGATTTTCTGGGTATACATGGACTTGCTTAATTTGGGCAAAGTATTTCATTTGTTAATGATGTTATGGGACACATCACGTTTTAGCAGTAGTGTTTGGGTCACACAGTGGCACCACATGAGCCACAGGGCAGTTTGGAGCAGGAGAGATGATTGCTTATCCTTACCCAGGTCGCCTTTGGGCAGAGGCTGGGCTCTCGGCCTGGCTGCACCCCACAGCTGTATGACATTGAGCAGCTCTCTGCAGTGCTTTGAGCTCCAACTTGTACACCTTTTATATGGGGATAATGAAAGCTATCTTGCACAGTTGGGAATAAATAATAATAGATGACATTTGAGGGCTTACCACATGCCAGAACCTGCTGAGCACTTTACCCATTTCATTTCCCCAGGAACCTTATGAGGTGTATGTTCTTAGCTCCGTTTTATGTATATGGAGACAAAGGTGCAGAGGCCGAGTGGCATGTCAGTTAGTGACAAAAAGTGGGAGAAGAGTGAGAGCTCATCAGGGGGCAGTGGTGGAACAAGGTATGACTCGTTCACACCACGGAATAGTGGGTGACATTAAAGAGATTGAGCTGGAGTCCTGCTGGGAGGCCTGGGAGGCTGAGGGAGGAAGGCAAGTTGCAGAGAAAGGTGTGTCACGTGATCCGGTAAACAAGCAGTGGCCTCAGTGCCCCCCAGTGTGGACACACAGCTGCACGTGCGCTGGCTCAGATGAGTGGTGAGCAGGGGAGTGTGGAAGGACACGCTTCAGGTTGCCAGCACGGCATGGCTGCTGGGGGTACAGAAGGGGTTGGACGGAACCAAGGCGCAGAGAAGAGCCAACACCCAAAGCCGGAGGGAGCGTATGTGCGGGGATCCCATTACAGATTATACTGAAGTAAAAGTATGTAATTAATTGAACATTTAAAAAAACAAAGGAAGACATATTCTGAATTTACATGCGCACACAGACCCCAGTGTGACAGCCGGCAGGCACTGCTGACGTGGGGATTTGGACTCCAGGGCCCATGCTTGGCCACCTCCACTGCGCCTGGGTGTGTACCGCGGAGGGGGGACGGAAGGGGAATTTGTAAGGGAGGGTGCAGGGCCCCTGGCGGCGCTAGGGGCCTCCGGGGGCATGGGGAGGGCGGTGGTTGTGAACCTCAGCATGGTAGATTGTTTTCTCCGGCCACACTCGCCTGCCTGGCCAGGTGGAGAGTAAGCAAAGGGTTGGAAGTGACTAGGGCTGGGGCTTGCCCGGCAAGGAAACAGCAAGGATGTGAGCAGAGGAAGGCAGAGAGGGTGGGAGGCCAGTGGAGTTCCAGAGGGTCAGGGCACCGGGGAAGTGAGCTGGAAGAGAAGGGGCAGAGGTCAGAGTGAGGGTTTGCAGGAAGGGTTAGGCAGGCAACCGGCTACTGAACAGACAGGTTGTGGGCCATGGGAGTGGGCCTGGGGGAGGACCACGGGGTGATAGGTCCAGGCATTGGGGTCTCATTTGTTTGGTCACTGCCGTCACTAGCAGCAGTGAGTCAGGAGACTGAGTCTTAAGGGACGAGGGGCCCTGACCTGCAGGAGTAGAGGGGACCACACAAGGAGGGGAGGGGATGGGTTCTGCTGCCCTGGGAGGAGAAGAGCGCTCCCTCCGGGCCCAGGGGCCTGATGAGTGGGAGAGGAGACAGCTCCACTTGAGGGGCTGCAGGGGAAGTTGCACCTTCAGGAAGAGCCCAGTTCAGAGCGGGGTGGTGAGAGGGCAGTTCGGGACGGGTGACATATCAGCGGCGGTGAAGGGCCTCCTGGGCACGCGGTAGGGGGAGGAGCCTGAGGGGCCGGCTCAGTGGAGGCTGGCGGGATGCTGGGCTGTCGGCAGCCTGCGGGGCCCTTTGCCTCCTTCAGGGAGTGAGGGTGACGCTCCATATCCAGTTCAAGTGCAGAGGTCAGAAGCCTCTCACTTTGAGTTGGAGACAAAAAGGTGGCTCCCCAATCCACTTAACCCAGACACCCAAGGGGCACTGCCCTGTCCAGTGGGCCAGGTGCTCTGCATTCCGCTGGGGTTTCACAGTAGCTCCAGAACAGACCAGTGTGGAGGAGGCCCACCATGAGTTTCTTGCCCAAGGCCACATCGCTGGCGCCCAGAAATAGGTGCTCCTCCCGCCCCAGATTGCCACCTTAGCCCCTGGACACGAAGCCTTGGCACCTGCTGCCCGCAGGGCCTACTTCTTAAGGTGCCCGTTGGCTTACACAGCCTTTCAAAAATTACTGTTTGAACCCTGATAATGGCTGGGTTGTGCCTGTTGGGAGCCCAGAGAGGAAACTGCTGGAAATAGAGAGAGACCAGAGAAGAGCCGTCTTGTCTCTGATTCTCCTCCACGTTAGCTGTGTTAGTGGCAACACCGCCCTGGGAACAGCCCACCCTGATGCCAGCTGCTTGCCAATGCTCGTTTCTGTTTGTTGTGTGCTTTTAAGCTGTACACAGCAGCACAGACGCTCCAGCTGGGAACCCATGTGTGGCTCTCCTCCCTTCATTCAGCAGGATCTTCTTGCACACCCACCCCGCTAAGGGAGTGCTGGGGCCGCCCAACCAGACAGGGGGCTTCACTCCAGCCCTTGGGTCAGTGATGCAGCCCCAGAATGGGCAACAGAGTGATGACACAGGACCAGAGTCTGGGGGCTCTAACAGCCCCTGGAGGTGGGGATGGGCCAGAGAGGCTTCCTGGGAGAACCCTGCACAGGCTGAATCTCCGGAGTCCCTGGGGAGTCCCCACCCAGCATCCTCTGTCCTTCGGGAGCTGGGGAGGGCAGGAGGGCCCACATGGTGGGGTGGTGTTGCCCTGAAACCCCCATGCCTGCAGAGGGAGCCGTTACAGTGCCTGACGCAGGGGTACCAGCGCACTGGCCTTCCTCCCCACCCTTCCCCTCCCACCCTCAGTTGGCCACCAGAAGCACAGTGCAGAAAATATGTTCTTCAACCTTAGTAGCTTCTAACCTGTGCTGCACTTAACTGCAGATTATGATTCTGGAATAAGCTTATGACAGAAATATACCTTTTCCTGAAGTCAGCAAAATTCAGCTAATGCAACATAATTCAGCATCTTAGTATCTTTTGCCTCTGATGTGAGTGTCTGTATAACAGGGTCCTCAGGGCACAACCAGCAAATGACATCTACAGATGCACTTAAATAGGGGAAAGAAATGCTTTTCATCCTCCTCCAACTTGCAGGGTAAAATGTTCCGAGTTAGAAACCTGGAGTCTTGGGTGTCCTACCTCTGTCTTACCAGCTGTGTGTCCTTAAGGCCCTGAGTGAACATCTCTGAGCCCCGTTTCCTCAAACAGGAAGTGGCGATCAAAATACCCACTATTCTGAGTCAGGAGGGTGACGTGAAGTCACTGTAGGGTTAGGAGACCCTGTCTGCCAAGGCCTATGCCTGCCAGGGCCTACAGTGGGTGCAGTGGCATTTCACTGCTCTCCTCGGACCCAAAGGGGGAACCCACTGTGGAAAGAAAGGCCAGCGACTGCCCAGGTGCCATAACCAGCCAGGGGACCTGGGCTTCCAGCCCAGTTCTTTCTGGTGCGGGCCTTTCTGGCCAGTGGGCTGCTGAGCCTCCCCCCGTCGGTCCCCTCCTCCTGGGCAGGTCTCTGGCCCCTGTCCCACGTCTGCCCCGCAGACACTGTGTGGACACTATTTCCAGACATTGGTTCTCTCCTTGGCTGCCCTGGGGTCTCATGTGTGTTTCCTTTGGGTCATTGCCATTGTCCATCTGGTGGCCTTTATCAAGTACCAACAGTGGGGGCTGGGGAATGTCCACAGTGACAATTTAGCAAGGTGGTACTCCCATGCTCGGGGGCCAGGGGGCGGTTGGTGGGCTGCTGAGGCCACCTGGCTGTCAGGTGCGCTGCTTCCCTGGGTGAGAATGGTGGGCGTGGTGCCACGGCTGCCAGATCCTAGGGATGGTTCTCTGTTTCCAGGTACGATGAGGAGCTGGCACAGGGTGATGGTGCTGACCGAGAGCTGAGAAGTCGTCCGGGCCAGCCGCTGGGACCCAAAGGGGGCCGACTGAGGGACTCGGGGAGAACTGTCCTCACAACCTGGAAGTGACCACCAGTAAGAGCAAAAGACTCCAGCGTGGACCCTGCCCCCACTGCTCACCGCTCCCAGGCCCTTGCTGAAGGCCTATTTTGACATTTCCTTTTTCTAGAGCTTTTTTTTCCCTCTCCCTAAGCCCTATAAATAAATAAAGGTACTTCTTTGGAAGGTTAAGGAGTCTTTTACTAGGAATTCTGTGCACTTTGGCTGGCCTGGGTGCCCTGTAACTTAACACCCTTCTGACACCATCTGCCTGGAGATGGCGTCAGATGCTGCTGGTCATGGGCTCCGTCCCGCCAGAATGCTGTCCGCAAGTCCAGGTCACCTGTGCTTCTCACCTCCCTGCTGTCAGTCAGAGGTCCCCTCAGCCCCCTCCAAGGGTTTGTTTGATTTGCTAGAGTGGCTCACAGAACTCAGGCAAGCAGCTTGCTTACTAGACTACCCATTTACTATGAAGGACACAACTCATGCTCAAGGCCAGGTATAGGGTGGAGTCCCTCGCTGGGGACTCCAACCCTCCCAAGCCCTCCACGTGTTCACCAACCCGGAAGCTCTCCAAACTCCAGAGCTTGAACCCCAAGCTTCAATGGGAGACCCCATTACATTGGCATGACTGATTAAATCACTGGCCCAATGTTGGCGTGGCTGATTAAATCACTGGCCCATTGGTGATTGATTCAACCTCTAGCCTTGGGACAAACTAGCCTTGTGAGTGTGTCCCGGCCTCCCTGGACACTGGGGGAGTGGGGCTGAAAGTTCTAACCCCCTAATTGTGGTTGGTTCCCCTGGCAACCAGCCTCCCTTCAGCTGATTCGGGAGCCCCTGGCCACCAGTTATTAGCACAAACCAGTTATTAGCTTGTTAGGAATAACAAAAGACATCCATTTACCTTTATGCTCTGGAGCTATCTCAGAAACTTGGAACAAAGCTAAATATTACAACATAAAATGTCCCTGTGGCTCTTTGAAAGGAAGTTATGGGGGTTTTAGGAGCTACGGGCCAGGACTGGGGATGAAGACTCAACATGTATTTATGATCAGAGCATCAGTTGATTTCATTCAGGCAGGAAGAACTGACTCACAAATGTGTAAAACCAGCTCTTCTGGTATAAAGTGACAGCTTCAGTGTGCAATTTTGTTTACTATAAGGTACTCACATTTTTAAAATTTTGCCTAAATTAAACCCAAAATGTGCTTGTCTTACAGAATCTGCCTGTGAGAAAGGAAAATGTCTGAGCAGATGGCTATTTTTGTTTCATCCCCTTTGAGTTGACTATGATTCTGAGGAAAACAGACTGTGAGAAATACCAGCCTGTAGTTTATCTTTACAAGGTCCTTTGTCCAGGTGACCGGTTTCTGTCACTTTGGTCTTGTAGGTGAGTTTCCATCAGATGAGCCCAGACAGTTCTTGCCGTGTGGCTTGTGTGACCTCAGCACCTGGGTTACGGCAGACACGGAGGTAAGCGTGGGCAGCCACTAGCGGGGACCAGCTCCTGATGTGGTGTGTTTACGTGAGGCTGCCCTGGACACCGGTGCCTAACAGCAATACCGAGAGGAAGCCACAGTCCATCGGGCAGAACGACTGACGCATCTGAATAACCCCTGAGACCGGTTACTCTTACTCAGAGTCTCTTACTGTCATTCATATCTGATACCTATTTACTAATGCTTCATTCACCTTGATTTAATCTTTAAAACTCTTTAAAACTCTTTAAAACTCCCCACCGATTTTTGTTAAGATGTTAGTTAGTTAAGATGTTAGTCTTATACTGAGGACATGGAGGATAGGGGTCTTTCCTGTACCAGTGTGTGAGCACATGTTATTTGCATCATATGGTGGGTGCGCACGTATGTTTAATGATGTTTCACTGCCAGTTAGTGGAAAGGCCCTTTTAAATGATTCAGTGCCATACAAAGTGAGGGAGGTATAATATAAACGGTATTTACCTAGAATCCAAATAAATTGCAATTTAGGCAGATTTGCCTGCCTGTTCACTTTACTCTTGAAACGGCTCCGGCTTCCTGATCTGACCTGCATGTGCGTTTCCGGCACTCTTAATGTTTCGGTCTGGTGTTGATGGCGGGTGTGGCTTTGAGTCTGAGTCAGACCTGGGCTTGACGCCGGCTCTGCCGTTGGTTAGTTTGGCCCAAGGCTGTCAGTGGATCTTTGGACCTTTGCTCCCAAGTGTATAAAAAAGGAGATTAATGATATCCACTTTAGGAATAACAGGTGCCCCCTGGCCTACGTCACAGCTCTGACTGGCTTCTTTCCCAGGAGAGGGGAGAGCCACGTGGCGGGGCCTCCCCCAGGCTCCTGCGCGCAGCTTTTCCACCTCCCTACTTCTTATTCTTACAAGCCAGGCTCCCAGTTCCCTAGTTGTAGTTTGCCCTCAGCGTATCTGCGAGAGGGGTGGAGTCCCGGGCTGGGCTGAGCCCCGGGGAGCCCCATGTGGTGCAGGAATGAGGTGGTTGGTTTGCTGGTGATCGGTTGCTAGGTGAGAGCGAGTATCTGCTAAGGAGATTTATGTCCAATATTGACTGTTATGTTAGTGATACCATGTTCTGGGCAGATGTTTCCTCTGCACACTTCCAGAACACACATGGGTGGGAGGCGTGCAGCGTCCGGAGCAGGCCTCGGAACGCTGTGGGGTTGTAAACAGTGCTCATCGCTGGCCCAGGGCTCCAGCAGAGGCCCATTTGGAATTGTCCGGAAGGACCATTTCTGTTCTCTTCTCAGCTCTCGTTATTTTTTTTTCCTTTCGATGGGGTGTTCCCACAGTCTGAGGGCTGCACCATCTGGTCATTTTCACAATGATTCTTTTCTTGTTTCATTTGTTTAATTATCCCCAGAGTAAACTGTCATTTGCCTGCTTCCCAAATGGGCTGCTCCCGGAGTATTCCTGGTGGGTGCTCAAGCTGGGAATGCAGGTGGCTTCCTAAACGTCTCCCCTCCCGGCAGGCCCTCCTGTGACAATCTTCCTTCTTCCCCTGGCCTCCCACCTGGACCACTCCTGGAGCCCCACTGGTCTCAGCCTGCAGTGCCCTCCAGCCAGTAGGATTTTTCTGACTGTGGCCATACCCCACACCCCTGCCTCCTGCCTGTGTATTCCACACAGCCTCCCATCCTTGGGAGGATCTGGGAGGCCCTCTGTACACACTGCCCCAGACTCACCTGACTTTTCTCTGCCTGGTCATCCAGACTGGCAGACTCCACCCTCCCACCAGGTCCCAGTCCCACCCAGCCAGTGCTGGTGCATCCCCTAAGCTGCCCAGCCCCTGGTCTCCTAACATCAGGCCATCCACCTCCATGACCCAGGGAGTCAGGTGAAGTTCAGCCGCAGGGACCCTGGCCAGCTTGCCTGTGGGTCGGGTGCCTGCTGCTGCTCAGTGACCAGGCACCCACAGGGTGTCCATTGTGTCGTTTAACGTGCTGTGCCCAAGTGGGGTGCCCTCAGGGCATTACAGGACCTTTTGTGTGGCAACAGGAGTGCTGTCCAGTTCTGTTTCCTGTTTCTCATTCAAGAAGATGAGGTGTTTTATGTCTTCTCCGATTTGTCTAGGCCTGCACCACACTGTATCTTAATGCTTTTATATTAAAAATAGCCTTCGCATACTTTGCGCCTGTGAGTGTTCAGAGCGCACTCTCTAACCCGCACTCCTGCGTGCTTGCTGGTCCTCAGCAGAAGCAGAGCCTGGGCGATGGTAGCATCCCCTGCGGGGAACCCTAGGCTCCCCCTGCCAACTGCTTATCCTTTTTGTTTTTTTTTTTCTTTTTCAAGTTTAACTCCCTTGGTTTTTCTTATGTAAAAATGCTACATGGTAACCCTATTGGGAGTTCAGGTTTTCTTCCCAGGTCCGCAGGTGGGTCTTTACAGGACAATAAATTCCTGAGCAAAGTCTCCTTTCAGGAGCCGGGGTGAGGAAATGTAGCTGGCTGGGGCATTGATGGTGTCCTGGCAGATTGCCCAGGTGGCCCTTCAGCTGTGGCTGGGGTACAGCAGGCCTCGCTGACCACCATCAACAGCAGGCATGCCCCACAGAGCTGCAGCAGTTAGGGGCCTCTCCTGGTGGCCCTCTGCACTGGGATGCAGGAAGCTTGACCAGGGCGGTGGCCTGTGGTTGGTGGCAGCAACTTCCTTGGAGCATTGACACCCCCTGAATAGCCCCTGCTGCCAGCCAGGGCTTTGAACCCAGCACCTGGAACCACTTCTGCAGGGACATCACCTTCAGAACCTCAGCCTTGAGGGACATCAGTGACCTCAGATTTCTTGGTACAATGGGTTGAAGAGCATCCCTCCAAAATTCATGTCCACGAGAACCTCAGAATGTGCCCTTTTTTGGAAATAGGTCTTTGCAGATGTAGTTAGTTAAAGATCTCAAGATGAAATCATCTCGGATTTAGGGTGGGCCCTAAATCTAAGGGCTGGTGTCCTTTACAGAAGAAGAGAGGAGACAGACACAGAGAGGAAGGCCATGTAGGATAGAGGCAGAAACCGGAGTGATGCAGCTCGAAGCTACGGAGCACCGGGCATTGCCAGTCGCCCCTGGAAACTGGAAGAGAGGGACCAACCCTGATGACACCTTGATTTCAGAGCCTGGCCTCCAAATCTGAGAGAATACGTTCCTGTGGTTAGGCCCCCCTGTTTGTGGTGATTTGTTACAACAGCCCTAGGAAATGAACACAGTGGGTAAGGAGAAGAGTGAGGTCCCGGCAGTGGGCCCCCTTGGTGGCAGGTGACACACCTTGCTCTCAGGTTTGCCTCCCCAGCCTCGGCCCACACAGCTTCACGAGGACCCCCCAGAGCCTTGGCAGTGCTGGCATCGTCTGAAGTGTGTTTCTGGAGAAGCATCAGGCTTTGCGTCTTCTCTCCCTCTCCCCAGGCTCTTGCCCCTCCCCGCCTGGACGCCCTGGCCTGGCTGAGGCCCCGGTTCCGAGTTACCCTCTCACCTGAGCGGCCAGCAAGTCAGATGCTTCGGAGAGAGCCACAGTGTCCTGGGTTTTTTAAGTAATGTGATCACTGTGCAGAAATATGATTGCTGATGGAGGGCGAGGGTGACTCCCTTACCTAATGACAGTAATGGTGGCGACCTGATTCTGCAGCTGTTCAAGTCCATGGGCCACTGGTGCTTTTGTGCCCTGCTGTCTGATTCAAGGCCGTTCTCAATGCCTCCCAC